GCTGTTGTTGGGGTCTGGACAACAATCGGAACACCATTAACTGAGTTGAGAGATGAGTTACTGACAGCGGTCGTGCTGGGGCGAAGACTTGATGTTTGCGGCTGGCCAGGCTTCAAAAAAGAAGGAAACAGTTTGGTTTACATTAAACTCAATGCAACTTCATATTCTTAGCACTGAAAGATTTAGTCGTGCAAACAGCATACTACAAGAACAGAAAACCGGGAATCCGAGCGAACATTTTGCTCGACAAGTCTTCATCTTCACAGAGTGGACAGGCCCGCTATCTGCAAGTAATTCCTTAATACATAATTTTAACCAAGATTTTAATTGTCATACCTTCAATGCATTTTGAATCGCCCGAACAAAAATCATTGTATTTTCAACTTTCCACCTAATTTCCTGAAGCTGATGCGTTACATCTCTAGCCACTGAGAAAGCGCTGAGTTGCCTTTTCAACGTTCTTATGAGTGGCAGGAACACTTTCAAAATACGGTAGTTCACTTCTAAAGTGCTTTGAGGCTGCAAAGGAAAAACACTGAAATTAGAATTGTTGAACAGAGGCCAAGCTCCGGAAGGGGATAGCCTCTCGCTATGAAATTTTTCCCAATATCTCCAGGCACCAGGGACTGAAGATCAGCCGTCTGCGGGGTTTGCCTTCCCTTAATGTGTTCTGAAGATTTAAGAATGATAAAAATGCTACCATCCATCACTTCGTATCTGTGTCTCACCATTGTTTCATTTTCCGGTTTTTTATTCCCTGTCTCCGATATTATTGTGATTTTTCCCTCGCCATGTAAGAAGAAAAACGAAATGTTTCAAATGAAAACCTCGGAGAAAAAAGTCGATCTAAATTTCATGATGCAAAACCAGAATTTGGTTAGTGGCGAGTCTCGAGGGAAAGGGTACATGGTTTACACAAATAAGAAACAGGTGACTGAAAGTGAGCATCGTTTCACTGGCAAAGAAGTAAATGAGTATGATATGTCTCTCACCGTAGTTTTCTTCGTAGCTTGTAATTGTTGGATAGGTGTAACTATTGACTCTACGGAAGCCACCTGGAAGTTGTCATTTACCCATCTTTTTTCCTACAATTGAGGCAGGACAGTAAAATGTTACAAAAAATGGTCAATTTAAAATTTTTTTCACTTTGGTACTTATCCCCTTTTTGTAGAAATAGCGAAGGCTGTCCCTTTACAACCCTTTTTAAACAGTTAAGAAGAACGCGTTCGTGGTACTCCAGTCCTCTAGAAGTCTAGAACTCAAAGAAGAAGATTTCCCGTCCATTCCTAACTTGCCTCCCAGCCCTTAGCACCAAAATCTTTAATGCTGCTCTATCCAAACGGGAAGAGAACTTGATTTTCCTTATTTTCGATTCCATTGGATAGACTTAAATGACTCCATGGTGCGTTAGAACCTTTTTTATTATATTGAAGATATCTTTCATTGGTTCCTTCGGCTTATTGTGTTTGCTAATATCATGCATAAGGGAGAGATGAAAATTGCACCATTATTGATCCTTAATGAAATATCAATTGCAGAGATCTTAAGTAAAGATGCTTACAATCGTTTCTTTTGTCTTGAATACATCTACGCTCAACTCTAGCAGCATTGGAAGCAATTTGTTCAGTTTAGTCTTCGTTTTCGTATCGAACTGGCATCTCTTCTTAGTTATTGCCGTACACGTTGTTATCAAGAAGGGAAAAAAAGCAAGCCAAACTATAAAAAAAGAGTAGATGAAACGATTAGGCAAGTTGTCAATAGATACCAATAGATTATAAACTGTCTATTTTATATTTTATATATACAAGTTTCTTTCCTTTAGTATCAGATTTCCACTTCCGAACCAGAATCAAGGTAGAACTAAAAACAGTATATTAAGATGATACCTCGATAACATTTCGAAAACTTACCTTTCATCGTTTGAGGTTATAAGCCTTGGCAAAAACTCCAATAGTTAACTCTATTCGTCAGTGAAATAAGGTTCTACTGAGACAAATCGACTAGGCAATCTTATATACTCATTATGTCTTGGTAAAATTTTAAATTTAGACCCTATTTACCTACAGGTTCTTGGAGACTAAATGGGTCATTTCCCTCCGTTATGAGAACTTTGATCCGGTTAAACAGGTGAATTGAGTTCCTTTAGACTCTTTTGTCCGTGTCGGTGGCAGTATCCTGCAGTGTTACAGCGCAAGGAAAAAGACAGTATGTGTAAGGGGATTTACGGCAAGGACGATCATCAATCTTTATCTAGTACATCTCGTGTGTTATCTCGATATATTTAACCATTGGAGCCTTCATCCTGGAAAAAAGTGCTAAAGTGAATTCTAGTATCATACTAGATTTTGCCAATAACTTCCTCTGGCTTTGCGAGGTGCATGATCCTGAAGTCTTTACGGCATCTTTTTTATGCCTGTAGCCTATGTATCACTTTCTGTAGTTCTTAATCGCCATTATTACGCAAGAAAACAACCTAAGGATATCGATCATGTTGAATATCACAGATGTTTTTAGCATTGATCGAAGACTATGATTTATTTCTCTTTTCTTCCCCCAAATTTTCTTTAGCTACTATTTCATTTTGTTGTTCTTTAGCTTTCGAAATGTTCTACATTATCACTCTAAGATAGACTTAAGAAATTTATATGATAGTACTTCTGATTTGACCGTAGAGACATTAAAAATTAACCGGATAACACTATTTAATGAGCTCAGTGAGAAATATTCGTCAGACTGATCAGCTGTTTATACCGGATGGTCGCTTGTTCTTATTAACGTGACAACAGATTCCCTACTACTAAATATTGAAGTAGAATATCCCCTATATGAATATCAAAAAAACCGTTTTCATAGAAAGTAATGTTTGCCAACATTATTTATTCACTTTCGCTCTAAATTGAAACATTTGGCTGGCCTTTTAAACATAAAATAGTTTTCCAACGCACTATAGTAAAGTTATAGTTATAGTAAAGGGCCGTCACTTAAATCAAAAATATAGAAATGGACAACCAGCATGACTCAAAAATGACTCAGTGTAGTAAGAATATAACAAAACAACATTCAATGCTAATTTATTCATTTTCATAACAATCAGAACACGTAGACATGTTGACCATTGAATAAATTACTCCATTCTTTCCAAGAAAAGATGGTCTGTGTCGTAGAATACGCAGAGGATGAGTTCAGGTAATGACCAAACTATGATATGATTCTTGCTTTCGTTCATCTCATATTCCCGAAGGTGAGTGCGGAAAATCACTTTTAAAGATGATTTCCCTATACGCTTTTTCTTGTCATATAAACAGAATGTCATATAAATAGAATATTTCCTCACTTTCATTTAATTTTGTCTATTTAAGTAGTCATATGCTATTCTTAAACGCTGGATACTTTCCTGTGAATATTACGTGCATCCTCCCCGAATTCAAATCTTGTCTTAATTTCTTGAACATTTTATCGTCAGTCGATGAACTTTTTCCTGCCTCTTGAACATGCACTTGTTTCATTTTAGATGATGATGTTATTGATTCTAGAAACCAAAACACAGAGGCAAAAGGAGCTTACTCTGTTAAGAGTTGAAGTTATCTTGAAATAATTTTTAGGGACCTTGACAGCAGAAGGATAGGGTTGATTTTTTCAGGGAGCAGGTCGGCCATCGAAATTCTCTCATTTTCAACCCTTTCGGGCGACAGTTCCGCTGTTTGTGTGTCTGTGTGTTTTTTTAGGAACGATGCCTAGAGAAGTAAAATGCATATTCATCAATAACGATGTTCTTCTCATTGAGGAACGGTTGCAACTAGAGAGCACCTCACGCTTTTAGGCTTGGCGAAATCTATACATCAAGATTAAAACTGCAGACCAAACCATTATTTTTAATTCTCTAAAATAATCATCCTCTGCACTGTCGCCGATCAAGTTTTTGCTTGTGTTTAGACGCATTAATGAGGAATGGCAGGAGATATTCATTTCACCTTTAAAGTTACCAACAACCAAAAACCGCAGTTTTGTAAGCTCGTGAGGGATTTCAACTCATACATGTCAACAGCACATCGAAGGTATCTGGACAATAGATACCGTCGCTTCTATAAATCACTTGCCAGTATATTCGTGTATATCTTAAATACTGGATTCCATGAATTATTCTTGTGTATTAGAGGCTTTATTTAGACGACTTTTATAAATGCAGATATTGACCTCACTCAATCAAAACAGCTCAAACTGTTAACCGTGACCAGTTCCACTAAATATAATTGTGCAAAGACGGATGTACTTTTTAAGGCTCGAAGTATAGTCATCATCATCGTCAAAAGGTCATTCTTGGAATGTTTCTCCAAAATTTCCGCTGAATATTTATATCGGATTTTTCATGTCGATGGTAAGCTGGGCACATCATAATTCACTGTGTGAACAAATTTTTTAACAAAAGATCTATTAGAAGTTTGTATACCTTTCTACACATACCTTTTCAAAACTGAGGTCTCCCAATCAGCTTCTGTTTTTTGTTGTTTCCACAAAAAAAACATATTGCCTATGTATACTTTTAAAATCAGCAATTTTGGAACATTTCAAACAAATAATATAAAAAAAACAAATGCTTAAGAGAATAACTGAAGTAAAAAATTTATCAAATTAATTAAAAAGAAAATATTTTTATTAGAAATTAGTTAATGATGTATAGCTCTCCCATTCCGAGCCACTCTTGCACTATCAACTTACACGCCTCCGTCTGCAGGGTTGTAAGAAATAGTATTTAATGAAACTACGAACTGCTACAAACCTACGTCTAAAAGTGTTAAAAGAATTCGCACTTTTAGTGCCCGTTGGAAATTTGTTCCAAACGAAGAACATCTTTAAATCAAATCTCTACAAGTTTTGAATGTATGAAGTCATTATTATGAGTTACTTCTTACTAGCTACTATCTTGTTCATATAGAGTTCTTTTGGAATAAAGCCAGGCCTCAAATGAAGCTGAGGGGGACGCGGCCATGCAGGAAAAGTTCAACGGCTAAGACATAAAATTCAAGAGAAGCTGGCTTCACCAGAAGAAAAAGTTAAGAGTATTTGGGCTCATCTAAAGACTCTCAGGAGCAGTCCTCAGGTGAATTGTAGGAATAGCAAATCGAGAAGAACAGTCTACGCGATTTAATTTCATCTTTGAGAGAGGCAAACTAAAGATAAGTTGCTGAAAGATTTTATCCCCTTTCATCTGCCTTGTAATTTTTTGGAGAGAAGCAGTCAACCAAATGCCAGGTGCCAGTCGATCTAACACGTCAAACAGATCTAACAGTGGCAGAATAAACAGATCCAATTAATGACAAAAAGTCAAAAATATCCTCTGGCAGTATAGATGTGCAACGAATAAAAAGTTGTTAGCAACAAAAAGAATAAAACACGAAAAGAAAGGAACAATGAGGATGGGACACAGTCCAATAACAAGGTCTTCGATAATTGCAGTACTGTTGCCGACAAAAATTCGATTGGTGTATCTGTACAAATTGTCACATTTTATTCAGGCCTTTTGTTCTACACACATAACTTTCATCAATATTCTGTTATTTTTTCCTGTATAATTTTCCTTTGTTTATGTCGCGTGTTTTAGTTCTTCACCGCGGATCTACCGTGTAACTGTGTAAACCACCTAACCGTTTTAACCGTCTCCATCGATCGCTTTACGTCGCTGTAAATCGTCCTTAATTTGCCAGTTGACACGGATCTCGTACAACGTTTGTAAGTGTCTTTTGCCGTTCGTTTTTTTTTCCTCGTTTGTCGATTTCTTTAGCTATAATCGTGATAACCTATAACTTTTCATTTATTTATAGCAATCGCTTTGATTTGAATGACTTCACTTCGTTTCGTTTGGTCGATTTGGAAGGGAAATTGGTTTTTGGCTGTCACATGTGTAACCATGTTCATTGGAGACTCCATAATAAAGCTAGAAAAAACCTTCGGCTATAGAATAGTGGTCAAACTATTCTCTAGGGCCATTAAAAAAGCTATGTAGGACTACATCAAAGCCAACCTGGAGCATTCGCCGGACCGAGTTGTTCTCCATGATGGTACCAATGACATCAAACTTAAAAATCGTTGCAAGTTGTCGAATCGATCAAAGGCAAATCGAAAACTAATCCGATGCCACCTTTGCTATAATGGAGCAGTAAAAAAAGCGAAAAAACATCAAAAGAGCTGTTGCCGTTAGTGTGGACGGAAACTTGCTCAGCACCAAAAGATCACAGAGAATTGTCTTAAAAAGAAGAGGAATGTATCTCAATTTTAAAGGTAATCGAAAAAATTTAATAACTTTCAAACAACTAATGGTTGAAATTACGCGCTCTCCACGAATTTCGCGCCTGCTCAGTGCACTATAAGCAAAACTGAATCCTGTATACTAATGAAAACGGTAAAGAGCCTACATCATTGTTGCCATCTCAACGTGGTTTTTAATTAGCCTTTTCGCCTTTTTGAGTATTAATGAACTAACTATTCATACAGAAGAGCTTGGAATTTTCCTGGCACAAAGAAGCAGGACTAAGCTTAGCAGGAGACTGTAAGAGACAACGAGGCTACTTTGGGCTACGATTTAGTTCGACGTCAGAGATGAACAAGTGGTGGACGAGAAGTCTAACTTATGTTGCTTACAACAAACTCGCAGTTTCACTAATGTAAAAAGCCTATTATAAAAATGGCTTTACCTACAGTAGCGCCACACTTTGGAGCAGTTTCCCGGCGACTTTAGACAAGTAGAGTCCCTCGGGCTGTTTAAAGGGCTCATCAAAACAAGTTCTTTTGGGCACAGTATTCGTGGAAAGCAGCTTTTTGTTGGTAAGTACTTTTTATTGTTTCAATGTATTTTCAAAGTTTTTACATAGATATATGTCTATCTATCTATCTATCTATCTATCTATCTATCTATGTATTTAAAGCTTTGCATTGTGGTGTGACCTGAAGCTCCTGATAATCATAAAAACTTACAAGGCCCGCTAAAGCTTTTAGAGTAAATGTTTAAAACAGGATCTCTTTATTTTAGCGAGTTAAAAGTGGGGGCATATAAATTTGTGACTGAATAGATTTACGCTCAGTTTCTCGAGTCCCAATCAAACCTAATAGCCCTTGCTGATTTTAAATGATGAGAGGGGTCTGGGAACTACCTTTTTTTACCGGTGCGAATCTAGTTGCTGACATGCGGTTTTGTGAGGTTAGTATAAGTCACAACAGTAGTATAAGCACAATGTACGCAGTATTCTTTTGATAAATCTCTAATTGATTGTGCAAAAGAAACGCTGGGAATCTTAACTCGAAGGATGGGCTATTTTTTATGAAAAATTCAGCATATTTCAAAACTGTTAGAGGCTTGTTCACATGGAACGTGTACACCTCTTATCTTGAAAGTCTTGTGCTTCGGTTAACTGATGACTTAGGGAACATTTAAATTTAACATGTGATGCCGTAAGTGTTTTAGCTAGTGGTAGTAGGGCCGTAATGAAGTAGGGACGACCACGAGCGAACGAAGATCTCGAAGCGAAAATTATATCGAGTGAGATCGAATGCTTAGTTCCCTCCTGTTTACGGTGTTTGTGGCCGAAGGCGAAACTCGTGGAAAGTTCGGACACCTGGTGAGCCAAACGGGGTGAGTCATCTTATATTTCATAAACCTAAATTTTTATCTCCACAAATATTCTAATTCTTGCCATAACAGAAGAGCTTATGAGCTGTTTTAACATTAGCACTCACACGCATGTGCATCTGTTGTCCGTGCCCGGGATTTAGGGAATTTTGAATTGGAGGTGAGAAGTCTTTCCAAAGGGAACACAAGTGTATTATGAGTGTAGGTTGAGGAGTTGAAAGGTATAGAGCTCAGTTTGAGCTTACAACATCCTTAAAGATGGACAAGGAACATGTTGTCATGATCTTAATAGTTATCACTGGCTCTGCACGAGAGCCATCTGCATTATGAAAACGTGACAGTTTTGGTGTAAGGCCGTACACTGCACCTTTTTTTTTCATCACCATTTGAACAGGTTAATGTTAGTGAGTAGAAATCATGGTTGCTGAGATTGCCTTTTACAAGAAAAGTAGGTTCGCAGTGCATATGTGTATCTAGTGTGAGATGAAATTGCATATCAACAGTAATTCTGCACCATAGGTCTACTTTGAAGGTATGCTGAGTGGATCTCAATGGTTGCAGAAGTGTACTAAAGTGCAATAGGTTTCAAAGAAGTTATTCAATAGCCTTTTAACAATTAGACATTGAATTATGAGTTTTTTTATGTAATAGACCTTTTAGCTACATGTATGTGGTCACATGATTTTGAAATGGTAAGCAAGAATTCAAAATGGCTGCGAAAGTATGTTTCAGGTGACATCTAATAGGTGAAACTGCTTCTTCTCTGGCTGAAATTTTTCTATTCACAGATAAATCAGCATTCAAAGATTGTGGTAATATGGAAATCAGCATCTAAAGAAATGGAGTTTGTAATTGAGATTATAAAAACCTCAGCTAGAAAAACAAACTTTTGATCTCACAACCTTTAAAGGTCACAAAAATTAGTTGAAATGGGCACAAAAGGGAAACAATTGTATCTCAAAAAAAACATTTATAATGATTGAGGTTAGATTGAAGCTATATTTTGTCGAATATGCATTCACTGTTCACTCTGGTTATGTAGGAGCTGGTCAAAGTTTTGAAATGACTAAATGACCAGCAGTCTGATATTTTTCTGAAAATTTGACAAATTGAGAGATCTTTTACCATCCAAACTATTATACTCTCAGAAGGATTTATAAATTTCATTTGTAACACTTGGTTAATGCTTTCTCAGAATGTTGACACTTTTGAGTCTGGGTAAGGTCCACTGATGGTCCTTGTTCTGAATCAACTATGTGACCAGCAATCTCAAATTTTTCCACAAATTTACAGAAATTGAGAGAATCTATAAAATCCAAACTACTATATGTCAATGAGGACCTCCTAAGTGATCTTGAGGAGATTTATGATACATACAAATCACAACAGAGTAGATAAAATACTTAAACAATGCTATGATACAATTTATGAAATAATGAAGATAAGTTATATGAGTACCCTCATTAGTATCTATGGAGTTTGGATGTAAATATGTAAACACAGTTTTGATGCATGAAAGTAAGTACAAGTACAAATAACAAATATCAGATAAGGAGAAAGATTTGGCAAATTTTATTTGGGGTTTAGCTATCTTTCCTTCCCCCCCCCCCCCCCCCCCCCCCTTCCCTCCACACAAAGCACCTTCTTGTGACCTGACCTTGTTGGGGAGCTCATGCAAAGACAGAAAAGGATGCACAAAAATCAACCATAGTGGCATTCATTTTTAATTTAAACTCCTCTTGAAGTTCCGTTCTCTAGGAATCTTACATTTTAAGCACTTTGGCATTTTTCTGTCAAATTTACAAGGATTGAAAGCTGGAATTGTTTCGTTCATACAGTGCTGGCACTAGCCACAAATTTCAACCTAGCTATGATTTTTTATATCCTGAATTTTTATTAATTTATGTCTAGTCATATGCACAATTTGATTTTCTCACAGGAAGTGCTGTCATCAAAAGCATGTATTGAGAAAATCTATATCAGTCAAGGAGTAAATTAACAAGTTTGAAAACATTTTCCTTCAATGGTCATGTTTTGGAGATAAATGTTTACAAAAGCAATAAAGAACTTTTTCCACATTCATATATTCTCATCCAAGCACTAGGGGGGCTGGGAGGATTCTTGAAAGTAATACAAATCCCTGACTGTCTCTCTGGTTTGCATTACTTTTGCACTTTCTCTCAACTCCCTTTGAGCTAAGATGAGGGTATGTACAGAAAGGTTTTCTATTGCCTCATTATAGCACTTCAGCTTCCAAGTGAATCACACCAGTGGTACACTTTGAAGTTAATTTCAGGTCAAAGTGATCTCATACTAGTTTTACTAGTACATGAAAAAAGTACATTCTTTTGATTGGCTAAAAACAAGTTCAAGTTTGCACACAAGTGCAAAGTTGTAACTAGTGCAAATTACAAATATTGGGCACATTGTCAAAATTTTGTGTCTGTCTTAACTTTCTGTGATGTTTTTTTCCTGTAAATTATAACAGTGCAAAGTGCTTTTACTGTTTCCACAAACCAAAATTTTTTGACAAATTTGACACTTTTTTGACACGTGAAGGGCAAAGTAAGACCATTTGAAATCACTGCATGCAAACTAGACACCTTGTTTTAAATAAAGTAGGAAGAATTCTGAGTTGTTCATTGCAGCCAGAAATTAATTTTCAGGAAATATGTTAGTGAAAAAGAATCAATTACATGTAATCCATGTGAAGCCATTACATTTTAGGTATTTAAATTCTGAATGGTAAAAATATGTTATATATCTGCATTAAACATACAGTGGCATGAAAACACAAACAGTGGCTTATATATATTAAAGTTCACATGGCAACCAGGTGGACAATCAGTCATGGTTTTGATGCTACTCTGGATTAAAGATTTAATGAATGTAACCTAAGAAGTTCCAGTTCATAGATCCAACATTTTGGCATTACCACCATGCAGCACCTTTGTTTGGAAGCTTCGCATTTTAACTCTGCCCACGCTCCTTTGAATCATGACGATGGCAGCTTACTTCCTGTTGCCTATTTACACCTCATCGGAAAAAAGGCAGCAAATTAGTGATTGTATGAAAGGACCTCTTGTTGCAGTGTTTAGATCACCCCTGATGAAGGCTATGATGGGTCTATGAATTGTAACTTCTTCGGTTACATTCACTTAGTTTTTAAACCAGAGTAGCATCAAAACATGTTTGGGTGGCCTATATGTTATAATGGGAGAGCAAAACCTTCTCTTGAGCATGAATGGTAATTGGATTTGAAACACCAAGGCTTACTATTACAAGAGAGGTTAAGACCAGCCATACATTTGTAAGAAGAGTTGTAAGAAGTTTCAATGTAGCAAATTTGTCAATTTGTATACCACAAGCTTATTTTGCTGAGCCTAAAACTGACACAGATGTTCTTAACTACATTGAAGTTTATATAAATTGAAAATTATATATAATGATTTGCTCGTTATATGGATGACTTAGAGTAGATTTCAGAAAGAAACATATCAACCACTTGAAGCAGGAAAGCCAGGTGCATTAGATAGGCAAAATGAATATCTTCAAAAGGTATTGAGATATCCAGCCAGCAAGCTTCATTTCTTTGATGAATCAAGTGTCGTCAAAACAACAGGGAAATCACAAATTGTTGGGGTTGATTACTTCAATATCCTTCAATGTTGATCAACTTGGTTAGATCATTTAATTTTGTTGGTGATGCCTCACAGGAAGAATGGGCAAATGAAAGTGCTTCCCTAATGGGACACAACACTGTAGTGGGGAGAAACTGATGGATGTGGTGATTGATAATTTTGGATTTCACCCTGCCTGTCACATTGAGCCATTGTTGCAAGATATGCTCAAAAGATGTAGAATTGAGTTGATCTACCAACCACCATACTCACCACATCTAAATACATGTATGTACTGTTTTTAATCAGATCAACAATTTCTTTAACAGCACCAGTTGTTTGCAATAAATGAAATTGAAGTAGAAATTGGCGAGGTGATTTGCAGTATCACGGCAGAAAACTTAGCAGAGTACATATCACAAGAAGTGTGGCTATCTAGTGTAAAACTAAACAATAAGTAGAAATAAAAAGACAGGGAAGGAGGGATAGCAATCGTTGTAAAACAAGAATTTACTTCACTTATTGGCTTTTTGATTCAATATGCAAATCATGAACTTGTTTGTTGCAAGACCATATGGTTTCTGTTTTAACTCAAGCTGTGAGAAAATATGGAAAAGGTTGCATGAATTAAGATATTTGGAGAAAATATTAATCCATGTTGTTGGGATTAAACTGAGAAATAAAATCTGTTTTCAAGAAGACCATTCAAGAATGTTTGTGAAATTACATAACAAAATGTTGAATGCCAGTGTTGAACAGCATGTGAAATGTACAAATTCATTAGAAGACCCTGCATAATACAGCATGACCAAATTTGAAATACAACATACACACAGTGGTTGACAGTCATGCCAGTGCAGTTGAGTATGCTCTTTTGTTACAAACACAATGAAGAGCAGTGATCTACACTGCTATTCAAATAAGTATCAACGTTTCTTTTTGGTACTGTTTGATCAGAATTGGCAATTGCCAGTCCTTGCTGGCATCAAATCCAGGAACCTTTCCATTTCATGGAAATGCAGTCACTTTACTTGATTAAATTGCAGACTTTTAGTCTGGGAGACATCATTGCAAAAATACCAAGTGGACACCTTTGAGAGGGATCTGCAAAACACTTTCAGCTTTGATTCTGCATCACACTGTTCTTTTTATGATTGGGTTCATATTTGCTGCTCCTGTGTCTTTTGTTTCAGCTCCAGGTGCCTGTTTCTTAAACCACAAGCATCATGGGAAGGAAGAAGAGGAAGAACATTTTGGTCTTGTATGTCCAGACTTGTGACAATTTTAACAGAGCCTGGACTGTTTAGAGGAGAGAGGCTTGAGGGCATCATTTGTGTGAGTAGCTTTGCATAGTTTCTCCTCTGCACTAGATAACAATGCTTTTTTCAAATAAACAGTTTTGGCTAAATTGGCCTTCATAAGGTCTAACAGTGATTGCTCAGGGTTTAGAGCAGATGTCATGGCTTTATCAAAGCTTCTTTCTGAAGAGCAAGGATCAAGCTTATTTTCACTTTTGCTTGTAAGAGAAGACGGTATTTGAAGTGTTAATAATTTATTTATTTATAATAATTTGTTAAATGTCTAGTGTGCTTTTTAACATGCCAGGTGATCAAAAGCGCATTGCAACAATAAGTTACCTAAACTATACTATTGTTAGACATACACAATAAATTCCAGAGATAATAAATCACATCATTTATATAATTATATATATATATATATATATATATATTTACAGATCTAAGAACTATTAAAAGCTAATTGAAAAAGATAAGTTTTAAGACATGACTTAAAAGTTGATATGCATTTGATGCTGTGAAGATTAGCAAAAAGAGCATTCCATAAAGTGGGTGCAGCCACACTAAAAGATCTGTCACTAAATGACTTTTTCATTTTTCTTGAGGGATGCTTTAAACAAACACCTTCATTTGTGTGCAGCAAATACCGCATATTTGTCTTAATGTTAATTAAATCAATAATGTAACTAGGTGCCATACCATGGAGGGCTTTAAAAGTAAGTAATAAAATTTTAAACTTAATTCTTTTTCAGTCAGACTCAAAGTCCAATTTCGAAGGTTTTTTTGCAAGGCTGTTTGTTATCGTTTTCAACCTTTTGTAATAAGTTAGTTACTGGTACATATTTAAGTAATTTTGAAGTTTTTGTAATGTAAGTATTATTATCTCAATAAATATTGTAATAAGAATTAATGTGTTTTTTGCTATGAAAACTTTTTTTAATGAAAATTTGGTCAAAAATCGGGGTGCTTATTATACATGGGCGCATATATGGGTAAATATGGTATATAACCAGAAAAATGCCGCACTACGAGACTTAGAAATATGGGTCGACATAGAAAAATGTGAGTCAAACAAGGCACCGAGATTATGCACTGCTTAAACTGGCTTAATATCCATGGACTGAACAGTGATCAATTTTCAGCAACTGTTGTCTCAATCTGATTACAAGAAATTGAGTGTTGTCATCATTGATCTTTAATTTGTCCCTGTACATCCATTTGTGTAAGTTACTAGTAAATGGCTCCATGGCTTCCAATGCCTTCATTTGATCCATAGGACTGTTAGGATTGAAAGACATGTAAAGTCCCGACCTGCCTGAACACTGATACAAATCAACAATGGCTGTAAATTCGTGTAATAAACTCCGCTTGTTCAATAATACCCTCCATGGACAATCCTGTGTCTTTGTGTAGTAGATATATATGATGTTCAAACTTAAAAGTAATAAGAGACTGTAAAAAGTTATAGAACAGATAGCCCTGATGGACATGTTCACCTTCTATGAAATGCAAATTATGCATGAATATACAGCCCTTCTTCTTACAGCTTTCCTCTTTTTGCAAGTTCCAATGTTTGAACAACAGGTGAATTTAGCTCACTGACTCTCAGAAGTGTTTCAAATATAGTCCTTAATCTGAGGAACAAACAAACATCTCTTGAAAGTTATCTGTATTGTCCTCATTTAAATTCACATAATCGTCATCATCTCTTACTGGAAAGATGGATATGTCCTGCAATTTTTTTCTCTTACTGTTATTTTAACCTTTAATGAGTGATCACCTCTTTTAAGCTAACCTACAGTGTAAGCATCTTAGTAGTGTGTACTTTTAAGCTGTTGTGGTCACCCTTTACAGAATTGGAATGGACTGTTTCCCAGGCCTGATAGACTTCTCCTACTTCAAATGAAGGAGAGGCTGCAAAATAGTTGTGTCTACTGCAAGTCCCAAAGCATTGTCTGCATGGGATGCTCCACAGTGGACAAGACACGCTCCCTTTTCAACTTATAAAGCTGAAAGAAGCTGAAGCAAGAAAATTTTCTCACAATCATGTTCAGACAGAGACTACTTCAAGGTGTTCACCTGGTCAGTGATTTGATGTATATGAACATGCAACTAGCAATATTGGTGATTGTTGTGAACGTCACTTTTAAGGCTTTCAAGCTCTTTAACTTCCAGTGGAGTATTCTCTCAAGGCATGGTAGCAAATCCTGCAATCTGAGTGGCTTTAAGTGTGGTACAAATTTTCTTTGCCCATGGCACGGTAAGCTTTCATGAGGCAATGAGAATATCCCAAGCTCCATTGCCATTTTTCATAAATATGTTTTGTTTTGCCCACTGGGCAATATTTCCAAGTAAAGTATTTTAAAGGAAATCAAGCCAATTCATAACTTATTAATTTTTTCTTTTCTCTCTCTGGAATCACTTTAGTTGCTAACAAAAATATAGTTAGAATCGAATTTGTAGTAGCAAATGTGTCATATTAAATGGGTTAACACACAGCCTATAAACAGTATTAAGTAACTTTAATCTTTCACAAAAAGTCACCGAGGAAGTTAAAACTGTGAGATATTTGTTTACAATTGAATCAAGCAATGGAACATTCGTTCATTTAATATCTGAATTTTCTCGCACTATTTTTTCATTGTGAAATGGTGAGCAAGGTAAAGCACTTCAACTACAAAAATAAGGATTGTTTTCTAGAACTCAACCATTTATTTTTACATTTCTCAACCTCAAGGTTGTTGAAGCAATGGCATGCAATGCATACAAACAAGATAATAAATCATAAAAACTAAACAAAATGTCAATGTTCAGTTACAACAGAAATTCTCACTCCTAAGTTACAAATATGCTTTTGGTAAGTCTTCATGAGTCTTCCATCAGCACCAAACAGATTCACTATGAATGATGTTAAATAGTGAAGCTGAAAACAAACATTACTTGCCACATTTCAGGAAATATTGCTTTCACAAGAGTGGTTTTGCTTTGTTTGTACTTTTTATTCATGCTTAGCATTATGTGATGATGATCTTCATGACAATTTTAACAGATGCTCATTCTTATTTACTTTTGCTAGAGTTGGGTACCGTGTTTTATTGACAGTGAGCGGCATTATGTTCAATTTTGTTGGTAATGAATAGCTCAACATTTCAGATAAGAGAAAAATGGTTTCACTTAGTCATTCTTTTACATTCACACTTAAGATTCAAGTAAAAAGAACAAATCAAATCATAAACAATAGCAGCAGTCTTGCTTACACATGAACAAATAAATAAGTAAATAAATTAATAGTTAAAGACGTGAACTGCAAAGGGTAGAATGGAATCTCATTTTCTTCACTTATTCTATGAACCTAAAGTCATCCTGGTAAAACATAATAATGTCTCCTGTTCCAGCAAACTGCAAATAATTTCTCGTAATATGGATAACTGAATGCAAACAATTCAAGTTTTGCTGTTAGATGCTAGCCGTAAACTTTTATGACAACAACTTTAAATTATTGAAATTGGTATTTCCTGATATTGTTCACTTTCTAAAGTGGTACCAAGCAGGTCAAAAACTTTTTTCCTTTTTCTTCATAATGCAGACAAGCCACCGACACCGAACACTTTGGTACTGAACCATGTAATGTCACCCTTCTTTTTTATAAATCTAACACACCATTCAGAGTTACAAAGGCTAAAAACAATAGACTGCTTCATACATATTAATGAGCTTCTTCCATGCTCATTTTTTTTATGTGTTTGACAAAATTACATGTGTGTGCAAGTTTTTTTAACACCCTTTACATGTGAATGGAGTTATTACAGTGTAGGCACACAATATGTGCACAGTATTACATTGCAGCTAGTAAGCTCAATTGCATAATATTTACATTAAATTTTTATAAAAAATTTAACATTATGCATAGTCCTTAGACTTTTCATAATAAAATTTGAATTATAAAATCTGTGCTAATAAGTATCTAATATACTTAAGACTTATTTTATGTAAAATTGATATTTATGCTCATTTCAAATGTAAAAACAGTGTGTTCTTGTTTATGACAATTCAAGATTAGGAATTTGCTTTGATCAACACATATATGTAGATGGTATGAAAAAACATCTTTATTTTTCAATTCTGGTGAGTTGTCTTTGGAAAGTTTGATTTTTCCTTGTCCTGCACTTTGGTTAGTGCTTTAGTGATACTATTAAACTTGGCATTTAAAGCAGATGCATGAAGTCTCTTCCAAAGAGGAATTTAGCGAATAAAAGAGAGGACCAGGCGAAGATATTCATAAATTTGTAAGCCTGACTTGGATTTGTTGTACTTGGCAGTTTCCACAGGTGATATCTTCTGTGCATTAATTTCTCATCTCCATGCTTGGTCTGAATTAGATATGCTTTGCTTGTTGGTTAACTTGAAAGTTCTTTGCCTTTGTCTCTTTCCAGTATCCATGAGTAAAATTACAGTGGTTTATTCCCTCTCCTTCTCGTCTAATCTGAGTTAATTTACAATTAATGAGGATAAAAGCTAATTAACATAATTATCAAGAAAGCATAGAATAATTTACCAATAAAAATGTATTATATTACAACATGCTTTAAAATCTACAAGTGTACAAACTAGTGAAAAATTACATGTTTGAGAAAAAATACATGTATGGTGGTATGTGATTTTTTAGCCGCTAGCAGCTCTATAATAAGGGCCAAGTCGCACTAGAGGACAATTTCAGATTTGTCCAGGACAAATCTGACTTGAAATCGGCCAGTGACAAAAAATTTGTCCGGAAAGCTACAGTCACACTTGAGAACAAAATCTGTGAACAAAACATCACACCATGCTGTGAGCGTCACGCAATTTCCCGCGAAGCAGGCTTTACCTGCTGTTTCAATCCACAAACCGCGACACGAGGGATCTCAAAATGTTTCCACGAAGAATTCTAGCAATAATATTTTTCTTCTATTTTCTGGTTCTTCATCAGCAAGCAAATATCAATATCAATTTAATGATATGTTGTCTGTTATTAATGCAGAATTTACGTGCACAAAACATTCTAGTGACACGATGTATTCGCCGACAATGAAATCGTTATCGAAGACGAGCACCATACTATTGGACTCTTCCTCATCCAGTCGAATCGTGGTTCGAGATCCATTATACTGATCGAACAATACCTGGGGACTACTTTCAAAGGCTCTTACGAATGAACAGAGAAAGCTTTGATTTGTTGCTCAACGTAATTCGTAACCGGCTGACGAGACAGAATACAGTTCTGCAAAATTGCCTCACTCCTGAAAAGGTCCTTGCTTGTGGTTTGCTTCGCCTTGCACACGGAAATTCATACGAAACAATAGGACCTGCGCTAAACGTCGGCAGAACTACAGCAATAGAGGCTTGTCAAGACGTGGTTGAGGCTCTTTATGACTTAAGGAATGAGTACATCGAATTCCCAACAACAGTGGCCGAGACAATGAGGTGTATAGAGACATTTACGGACAAATCACGACTTCCAAACATTGTTGGGGCCATAGATGGCACTCATATCAAAATAGTTGCTCCTAGAAACAGTGCTGTTGATTATTTTAGTCGAAATCAGCAACATGATTTCATTATTCAGGCCGTTGCTGACGGTAAGGGATTATTTCTTGACTTTGCAGTGGGTTATCCGGGAAGTATCCACGACGCTAGGGTATATCGAAACAACTCGCTTTATCTAAGAGCAAGCAACGGAGATATACTCAAGGAACCCATTGAAAGAATCGGCATCACAGATATTCAGCCTTACCTGGTAGGAGACAGCGCATACCCTATTTCCCCCTGGCTTATGAAGCCTTATCCTGAAGCGACGCGTGACCCTGGCGAGATAACATTTAACAAGGAACTGTCGTCTGCACGAGTAACCATCGAGTGCGCTTTTGGCTGCCTCAAAAGTCGTTGGCGAATTCTACAAAAGCGGTTGGATAGCAGAATAACTTTTTCTGTGAAGATTGCCATTGCTTGTGCAGTGCTGCATAACTTTTGCATTAAAATTGGGGACGAATGGGAGGATGATTTTTACGATGACGATGATGACCGCGCAAACGAACAGAACAATGACTTAATGCAGGACGGGGAAGATATAAGAGAGTTGCTAAAAAACAGTCTATGATTCTTCAAATCCCTTTTTAAAGAGAAGTGTGTGATAAAGATAATTTTTGCATTTACAACAAGAAATCAGTTCAAGCAGTACATTCCATAATTGTTTCCATAATTTCGTTTGATCGATTCGCAACATAAACAATAACATGTCTTTTGATAATGGTCGATAATGATTGTCTCCCAATAGTCCAAAACAGTCTTGAATTAAAGTTCAGTTGTCTTTCTCATTCTGTTGGCCAAGGATTTTCACAATGGAGCCCATAAATTGGTTCATCATGGCTAGCTGCTGCGTCTGTGATTGTTGCAAAGAATCCATAAATGCTGTAACTTTCTCCCCCTGCTGCCTCATATCCTTTAGAGCCATCTTGAACTCTTCATCGCTGTCATTATCAGGAGCTTTGCGTTTCAAAGCTCATTTCCCTTTCTTTGACGCTCTTCTCTTTTCAGCTGGAGTTTGTAGCACATTGGGGCTAGATGAAGTACTGTTCTCGCCAGTAGTATCACTTGATTCAGCTACAACTTGGGGGGCACTTTCGCCGCTGATCCCCGCTTTGGCTACATTATTGAAGGTTACTAGGTCGTGGCATCCAAGGATCTTATCGACCTCATCGTAGTAGACGGATTTCCTAAGGTTTCCTCCTGTTTGGTTTTTGTTCCAATCTTTTGCATTCTTGTATCTTTCTATGATGTACTTCATTTTCCGAATACATTTGTCGGCCGTCTTGTTGGACTGTAGCGCTTTCGAAATCTTCTCAGCGATCCAGGCCCACGTTTTCTGCACTCTCTGCTTTCCAACTGATCGTGTTTTTCAGCCCATAGTTGGACTAACAGTTTTTCCTCATCTTTAGTCCATCATTCCTGGGCCTTCTTGTTCTCGGAAGATGTACGGCGCGAAGAAGTTTGGGATGATTCCGGCATTGAGCCGTCTTCGACGAACGGAAAGGATTCTGACAACGAGCCAGAACTTGCGGTTGAAGGAGATGGGCTTGCAGTTCCTCGATCATTAAAATTGTAAGTGCTAGGCAACGGATATATCCATCCTGGTGGATATTGAGGATATTGTTGCCCCATTTCATACGGAAAGTATTGGTTGCCCGTGCCTGGATTCATGTTGTTGCGAAATGAGAACGTGACCAATTTTGCCGCGAAGTCTATAGCATAGAGACTCTGCTACATATCACCTGTCAAATCATTTCCGAATTAAAACACCCTCGCTATTGTTTTCCAAAATTTGTCTCAATTTGGCCTGCTCCAGAGGTAGTTGACAGCATCTTTGAAGTTTGTCCGCCCGCGACCAAATTTTGTCCTTTGGTGAACAAACCAGTCGCACTTGGTTTTTCATTGTGATGACAGATTTTTGACATAAATAAACAGTTTTGTCCTCTAGTGCGACTTGGCCCTAAAAGTGTAATACTGCAAAAGCTATTGACAGCACAGTGAATTACTTTCACATCATGATGTCTATACTTTGGGCACTGAACCCAAACCAGAATATTGATGCACTCGTTTCAGTTC